CCCCAAAACCCCAAAACCCCAAAACCCCAAAACCCCTCTGCTACACTGTAGCATTGAATGTTTACTCAATTAAGATAACTTCTTCAGAATTTGGCTCCATTTCCTGCTTAAATCCTACTTTTGTTCGGGGAACCTCTGCTTGTGGAGACTCAAGATGGCTTGGAGAGAGCTCCCAGAGGGGGGATTTTAGGTGAAAGTCAACTAAGCCGTTGATGGTGAGAGAGGTCGCTTTGTGGTCGACCATAAGCCTAAGGGATTTAGAGATGGTTACACTGCGTGCGTCGTGGTATTTTGGGTGGGTTTTGATGTACTAAAATGGTGAGAGAGGAGCCAACCTTGCTTAAGGAGTGTACCAAGGAGTCTAGTTTGAGAATATTAGCAGGTTTATTGCAGAACGGGCATTTGAAAGTTCTGAACCGGATGTTCGTTTTTAAGAAATTCTCAAGATCAAAACACTATACTTTGGGTTAAATATATACCTCTATGTGAGTGCATTTATATCCTCTAGCTGGTAATGAAAAAGAGCCTAGAGTGAGAGGGCATGTTAGAGGAATCTCTACTCCTTCAGATACTACAGAAATATCTTCTTCTTTATCTTTTGGGAATAATCTGTCTTCAATCATATCCATTGTATCAAAGAAGCTACTAACTTCATACTTTTTATAGTATTTAATCACTTGGTTTATAGTTATATTTCTACACAGGAACATTCCGATAATGTATCAGTTACCATCGTGATTCTTAGGCTGCCTTGATGGAGTCCTATCCTTCCTAAGGCTTATAACATGACATCTCTTTTTAGTAGTGCAGGAAAATTCTGTCAAATCAAAGGGGAAATCTTTTCTTTTTCTTGATAACTCTATTTCAGGTAGCGTTAGATACTTCTTCCATGCAGGACCATCTACATTAATCATCCCGTAGTTTGGCCATGAGTTCTTGAAAGGGTTGTTTGAAAGTTGGAGTCCTCTGAGTTCAACCCGGAACTTTTCCTTTCCAGTTTCTAATAATTTACTAATGGAGGGAGATAACTCAAATTTGATATTTTTATTCTCAATGATTCCAAGCGTCACAGGCTTCAAGATAGTTTCAATTGGGATACAGAACAGATCCATAACTGCAAACTGTCAGTGGAAGCATATGTATGGGACCACATTCACCATCTTCTTAATGCATATCTTATGCTGATATTTCCCGCACTTTGTTCACTGAATTTGTTTGGATCCGTTATGAAACTGGGACTTTTGGCATCAACAGTGAATTTTGTTATTCGCTGAAAATCTTTCTTTTGGAGATGCCTTCTCTAATCTCTTCAAATCCAACAGTTCACCTAAACATTAGACACTCTTGCCATCCTGTACCTTTATACCTCTCCATTGCTTTCTTAATTACCCCTATAATCTCTCTATCCCCCAAGGACTTCTCCCTCCTACCAACTCTCGATACTTCCATCGCTACAATCCTCCTCCTTTTCACTTCATCTATCCCCACCCCATTCCTAAAAGCCCTCTTCCCTCCCTCTCCACCCTTCCCCATCACCTGAAAGTCCTCTCCATTCAACCCCTCTAAACCTGCCTCCACAGGAAGAGATCTGGAAGGAACCTCCAAACCTGTAGAAGAAGTGGGCTTGAAACCTCATATTTTTGTGCACGATTTTTGTGTGGGAACTGAACTTAGAGATTTTTGTGTAGGATTTGGGTAGGGTTGGGAGGGATTAAGCTCTTTGGGGGAAGGAAGGGGGATGGAGGGGAGAGGGGTGTCGTGGGTTTTTGGTCTTTTGGGGGGTTTTGGGGTGTGTGAGGGTGGGAGTCGGGGTTTAGGCATGTGATGGGGGTGAATGGGGTGATGGAGGGGTTTTTGTGGGCTTATTGGCTCGTTTTGGTATTGGAGAGGGGTGTGTTTGTGGGGGGGTGATTTGGGCACTTTGGAGATGAGGTCTAGTAGTAAATAGGATTATAAAATGCAAAGGATAGTGTAAATATTAAGTTAGACTGGTATTCTAAATAAGCTTCTAATTGAAGCAATGGGAGAACTAGATCTCTTAAAGTACTTTCAAAGGTCTTATATTTACCTTTTTCATATGTCTTCCTTAAGACTTTCAGTATCCTTCTCTTTTTCCTTAGCCTGCTCCTTAGCTTCTATAATAGAAAATATTTCTTGTATGGTTTTAGTCCTTCAGTATTTGATGACTGCGCCTTTTCTTTCTCTTTTATTTCTTTCAACCCTGAGGCAAATCTGTAGAATTAATGACTTTGCTGCGATGCTTTTGAACCTTCTTGGCAATTGAGCCATCTAAGTCTCGAACTTTGTACTGAGGAAATCTTTTGATTTTATTAGAGCCAGGGTATTTCTCTTCAAAGTCAGAGTTAAATGTGACATATTTGGGAAAATAAATCGGATCACCACTTTCATCCGCACTTTGATGCCAAAGCTTAGCTTCTTGATATAACTCCTTTAAAGTAGTACTATAAAAAGTAGGAAGATTACTTACCGTGAGATTCTCTTAATCTCAGCCAATCCTTTGCCTTTGGAAGAGGCTAAGCAGTTGGAAAGTCTGTCAAGACGTTCGGCCTTGGTTCCAGTAGACTTTATATCGAGTCTTTGTAATGTTTTAACCAATAATTCCTCGCTGTTGGCTTCCAGGATTGACCTTAACACGTCTGGGTGGCACATAAGTTCATGTCTTGCAAAGTACTGATTTTCTGCCATTTTAATTTGTAACTATCTAGTCATCTGTAGGGGTTTTGGGGTTTTGGGGTTTTGGGGTTTTGGGGTTTTGGGGTTTTGGGGTTTTGGGG